TTCCGTTAAAGCGTAGTTATAAAGTAACTGAATCAGCCTGAGTGCACTTTGACAAAAGAACAGAGGATATTTAGAAGAAAGAAAACAATTACGGTAACTCGCGCCACACACACGTAATACTGGTGCAATAATAATAGATAAGATAGTTTGGCTTGTCAATTGAAATTCTAAAGTAATTGAATAGGCGTAAGTGGACTTTTGACAACAAGAAGAGAAATATATGTGTGATTATGATATGCTTATAATCTCTATAGTGTTAAGAATTTGTTGTACATACGTTTAGCTTGTTCCGAATAGCGTGCTGTTCATTTATCGTTGAATTTATCGCCAGCAAGTCACAGACACCTACTGTTGAAAAATTCTAAACCCAAAAACAACATAGTATCTATTTATGCTATTAAGATATACAAGTAAAAGCCTTTTAATTGACAATTGGTGACCATACTATAAACTATAAATTCTGACAGGTATTGAATATGTTTCTTTACATACCAATTCCAGTGAAAATGCTAACTTAGCATGTTTACCTTTAAGGCAAAATTTTGATTTATTAAAACAATATTCTGCCAACAGAAGTCGTATATTTACTGTACAAACTATTTCTCCTTAGTACCTAGATGGCGTTCTACAGGATTTTCTATTTCATTTAGAATGAATAATTAAATATTTTGTACTAGTTGTGGGTCAAGTTGAGGAATATCGCTTTGAAATGTTACTACTTAGTTCGTAAGTAATTACGTTTCGTAGTTTGTAATATAAAACAACATAACGAGATATACCTGCAGGTAAAAAGCTGTTTAAAGTATATACTCCTGTTCAAATATACATGTGTCAAATACTCTTTTGTCTAAATCTCAGTATTATAATTGATAATGCTCTTTGCAAATAGGTGCTTATGAATATTCATCCTAAATTTTCTTGTGGGATATATGCAATCGTGGCCTTCGTGTCGGCGTTATCTTCGTTCGCTCTACCGTTTGACACTAAAGGACATGAACTCGCAGTAAGTTTATTTAATTAGTACCAGTACTTAATTACAGGAACTCGTAGTGTGGGTATTTAAGTATGATGAACTTGAAGTAATAAACAACACCGACTTTATTTATTTATTTTTTGTTTTTAGTACACGTGGTTTCATAAACTAATTCCGATATATATTTATATAGTTGTAATTTACAATAAGATTTTCGTTCAAAACCAGAACTCATCAGTTGAACTGGTCTATGAAAGACCAAAATATTTTATGAAACACTATTTATATAAGGAAATTTAATACTTAAAGTTCTAAGAAAACGTTACAATTCTGTTATGAAATATATCTGATCACACGTGCTTCTAATAACACGAACTTCAGGTCGTAGTTACTCAAAACATGAGTAACACGATGAATTTTACATGTAACTACTGCTATTTCCCGACTTGATTACTGTAATATTGGCACTTTATATCAGTATATAAAGTGTCAATATGACAGTAATCAAGTCGGGAAATAGTAGTATTTACAGTGGGAAATAGCAGTATTTAGACTTGATTACTGTAATATTGGCACTTTATATACTGTAATTACTGGTATTTCACGACTTGATTACTGTAATATTTGCACTTTATATACTGTAACTACTGATGTTTCCTCACTTTCATTACTGAATTTGATAATAAAAAAAATCAAATTGTTCGTTTTACTGTTATCAAGTGATAACTACAACAGAAATAATAACAGACATATTAGTCTGAGTGATAAGTTTATTGTTTCAAAAAATATTAATTGTTTAATAAGTTAAAAAAAATTGACTAAGTTGTTAAAACAGATACAGTCGAAAATGTTATTTGTGCGTAACAAAAAGTAGACAGGTGACATAAACACTGTAACGCCGATGATCAAGTACTTCCAAAGATTTAACTTTATTTCGTTACATGTTATTCAAACACCTAAAGTATTTTAGGTTGTTAGTGGTAAGTAAAGAACTATAAACCTAAACAAACAAAACCTAACTTTTTTTGTCATTATCACAAACTTTAGAATCGTCTTCACGACTGTATATAAGTGTGTAATTAAAATTTTTCTTTTATCCGAGAGAAATATCAATTTCAGTGAAAATTTTATATATTTCATTCCAGGATCACTGATGTGGGTGTTCCAATATTGAAAAGATGGAAATCACGACTGAAAACGTTCAGTAATGTCCCGTCCAGTGGAAGCACGAGAATTATAAACATTGTATGTATATAAGAGACCACTTCTGTGATGAATAATAAAGTCAAACGTGGTAATATTCTTTTATCACTAACTGACGTCTTTAAACAACAGTGATTTGAAATGGTCTTGTTTGAAGCGCAAACTGCACGTCGACGTAGCTGGGCTGCAACCACCGCAGGGATCGAACCTTGAACTGTAGTATAATAAATCTTTAAACATACCGCTGAGCCAGCAGAGGACAAACTTTTCAGGGTAGGATAAGTATTAACGACGACTCTCAAACAGTAAGGAGAGGTTAAGTATTAACGACGACGATGACTTTCATTATAGAGTGAGGATAGATTAAGTATTAACGACGACTCTCAAACAGTAAGGAGAGGTTAAGTATTAACGACGACTCCCAGTGAGAGGTTAAATATGAACAACAACGATTTGAAACAGTAAAAGTAAGTGAAACATTGACAGTGACAATTTCAAATCGAATAATTTAAATACCAACAATGATAATTTGAAACAAGAATGATAGTTTCGATATAGAATTTTACACTTTTAGAGTAACAAATAATACAAAGATATGCTTTATTGCATAATTTTTTCCTACAAAATGCTGAGCAGACCAAAAATATTAGCTTGAAATAGTTAAAACATTATTGCTATCTTTTGGAGTAAAATTCTATAACATTTGCAGTTATTGTAAGAACGTGTTTTTCAGCTAGCATCCGAGAAGTTCCATAAGCAACTTACTCCTGGTTGCAGGCTACTGACAATTCTATTCTTGGGTTAGATGGTACGGACTACTTTTTTCTTATAGCGTGCAAGAATACACATATCTGTGTGTGTGGATCGTAGGCTTAGATCGAAAGATATCAAACACTTACTACCGTCGTACACGGCCATATTATTCATTTTCAAGTACAATGTAGACACACATTCAAACAAATACCACAAGATAAACAGATTGATTACGGAATAAATAATCTATATTTAGCTTCCGACGCCGATAGAAAATAATGATTACTTAAAATCATAAATAATATTCAACGTTAAACTGGTACACAATTAAAAACAATTTATTTAGGCCTATCTATGGCCTTCAAAAAGTAGAGTCGTCAACTTTTTGAAGGCTATAGATAGGCCAAAATAAATTGT